TGTATAAGAAAAATAAAAATCTTACAACTAATCGACTTTCAATTTTAATCCACGTATCTCGGGACATTATTCAGTCATTATTCCGTTCTTCGGCTTCTATCAATAACCGTACGCGAGAGTAAAAAGAAAATAAGGCGGTCTAGACTGCCAGGTACACCACGGATTGCGCGTAATTACACCTGTAATAATTCCCACTCCTTATTTCCTCCGTTGCTTCATAAATTCCGCGTGTTGCTCGCGCCGCGGGTCCCGCGCGCATTCCGCGCCATTTTGAGCCCGTGAAATAAACATAAACTAATCCCTTTGCTCGCCACCGGACGCATAATTCACACGTTCGACTGTGGGCCAAACGGCGAGTGATACGGCGGAAAAGGCGGCGTATAAACAATAGATTAAAGCCGAGATAATGTAACGGGCGTAATTGAGATCGATCTAGTGGAACCATCGACGTTGGCGCCAGCCGGGAAAAATCGCGGTTACCGCCGCTCGCCGGTTCTTACGTTTTCGCGGCGCTAGTGTAGCCAATTGAGATCGAAGGAGGCCCAATGGAATGCCGGACGGGCGTAGAAAAATATTTGCGGGGCGAGCTTTCAGCGAATAATTTCTACGTAGGTGAACGATCACGTTCGACAGGTCGACGCACGGCCAATATCGATTCCCGCGTCTAACGCTCACTAACAACTGGAGCATGAAGGCATTATGTGCGTGAGTATACGTACACGGGCCTGACGGCTTCTCTAATATCCAATTTCCTTCGTGTCGCATCATAACTCGTTTCTCACGATGCAAAATATCTTGATCGTGCGTCGAATCGAGGCTCTGGCCATCGACGGGCCGTTGTTCGTGTGCCGTGCGTGTGACGGGGTTATGCTCGTGAGTCGGTTTAAATAAAACTTTTATTGCTAGGAATCGAGTCTTCCAGTATCTGTGGTGTACTTAACGCGTTATGGTATTCGAGTAAACGTAATTTTTCTTTATCGCCATTTTTTCGGGCTTCTTGAATATCGCTATCATCTTCGTCCTCTTTCCTCCTGTCCCTTTCTTTCCATTTTTCTTTCTTTTCTTTTTACTTTTTGCTTTTTCTTGTTTCGAATATCCAGTGGATTTTGTGTGCATTAAATTATGCGTTCCCGTGTAATGTTAGCGTGTTAATAATTTTCTTTGTGTAGTACCGTGGTAGTATATCATACGTAATAGCACTATAAATACCGAGCGTATCTACATACAAACTATCAGCGGAAAGTTTGAAAGCACTAGTGTTTTTCGAGAGTTTTTCGATTTATTTGTTGTGATATAAATTATGCAACGATAAACGGAGTAGCGTAGAGTAACGGGAAGAAGTAGTTTCAGATGTTAATCATTTATTCGCGTCTTTTGTAATAAAAATTAGGTTGCCAGGTTTTTAATTGATATTAAAAATTCACGGCACAGTCGGGATAAGTATTTCGAAGTAATTGGTTGATAATGCGCCAAACGCTTGTGTGTATATATAAATCCATAATAGCGTTTCGCTATACAAATATTTTTTCTTCACGCCACTATCTAGATTATCCTATAAATATTCAATCGATGATAAATCCGAAGGCCTTTCAGCCACGTTTACTTTCCTTCGCAAATTGCTTATTAACAACGCGTAATAAACGCAGGAAGTCGCAAAATCTCATTAAACTCTTTGCATTACGCTTCATTACTTTAATTTCATATTATGCAAAACAAAATTACAAATTGCCATTTACCATTAGCGTCAAACTTACTTGACTCGTATCACACGCGAATCACTTTGCTCCTAAACCTTCCGTCAGTGGTGCATATACGTATACGGTACTTATGGCTACTATAGCTCCTTCGTGTCAAGCAACTCAATCACTTAAATTACCCTCGAAGAGTGAACGAGAAGCAGCTAACGCTTAACAAATTAAATACAGTGGAACGAATGAAGTAGAACATTACTCGCGCTATGGCATATATGTACAAGCAGGAACAGGTTTTGGAAAGTTAATGGATTTCTCCTTAAATCTCTATTTCAAAACTTGTGTCTCACATTTTCGTTGCTCCAAAGTTCCACCGTACACCCTTCCAAAAATCTCGATCGCGTCTCGATTTTCTCCTTCGTTTCTCAAGTCTCGAAAATTCGAGAAAAATCCTGCTGGTCGGGAAGTAAGGCGTTTATAAAACCGTGATTCGCTGATAATGCAGGCTGCACCCGGCGGCCGGAAATTGAGGACGCTTAAAAATAGGTAGGCGATCCTCCGCCCACCATCGGGCGGCATTAAGATATTGTTCAAACGCCGAATATATTTTTTCGTCGTGGTCCGTCCGTTCTACGACCGACAAGAAACGGCGCCTTTCTTAAAACAATCCTAAAAATAGTCGGCGATTTCCAACGGAACACTTTGTCGTTCCGCTTTCTCGATGAACGGCTCCAAACTTTGCGCCGTTCGTGTTACACGTATTCGTCATTAGCACGCGTCAGCCTGAATTATCATCGAACCGGCACGTTCACCGTCACGGGTCCAATTATTCTCATAAATACCACGGTACGTCACAACCTCTGCGACAATCGTCCTTACTTCGCCACGCCTCCTCGCCCCGCTGTGATAAGAAGTTTGGCTAATTTTGTTGCGAAACCGGCCACGTAAGTACACACGTCGAAAGTGGACTGCAATTTCGCTAAACATATAGATCATTCTTGTCAACGCCACGTTTCATTGACCAATTTCACGAGAGGAACGAACCTGTCCCGCGCGTTCCTCGAGGAAAGTGTGCGCCGTGGAGCGGAATGGAAACAGGAGCAGCGAAAAATCGGGAAAGGTCGCCGATTTATCGGCTGTGCCCGATGTAATTATACGAGCAGACTATGGAGGCCCCGTGTTTCATACACCTCTTTCTATCCGACCGTTCCACCGTCCGTGTAAATAATTCCCTTATCTCCGCTATCCTTCTATCCGGGACCAGCGCGATCGCGTTGATCACAATTTAGATATCAGCGGGGAAATACCTGAGTGCCTCTCGGTTACGAGGTAACCCGAGAAATAATAAATAATATCCGCGTATCGCGAATCGGTGGAAAAGTTGCGCGGAAAATTGCGAGGGATAGTCGGGCGTGAGAAGAATTACGGGCGCCTGTGGCGTAAAAGGAAAAGTGGAGATATTTTTAAATTCCCGGATAAATTTATAACGTCGGAAAGCGATAGGTTATTCTGAGATCGGGTGGGGTATTTTTTCCTCCGTGGATCAGGGGTCCATTCGATCGTAGTCATTAACCCTTTGCACTCGGAGAATATTTTCCTCTTTCCTTCGACCGATCAGCGATTTTATAAAGATATAATTCAACTACTAAAAGATTTTGGAAGATTCTTTTCTTCCAAAAAATAATATTTCGAAAAAGAAATTGCAAGCTCGAATCTCGATACGATGAAATCTTCGAGCAATGGAGTAGCAGTTAAAGAAACGAAACAAAAAATTACCAGAATTACCAACGTCTCCGTAGTGTACTCGAAGTCGGTAGAGTGCAAAGGGTTAACGAAGGAAAATTAGCGACGAGTGTTCATTACCCAAATTTGTACAGAGACACTGTCGGAGGAGCAACGAAAGGAGACGCGTGTCTTTTAAATTGTCGTAATGAACGACTCGATGGTGCAAGCAACGAAAACAGTGCGCGAGTGAAATGTGGTGTCGTGATTTCGATGACAGTCGAAGAAACTAAAACAGAAGCGAGGAAACGCGGTGTGTTGCAAGACGACTGACTTCTACGGAAAATGACGAAGAATTGCCCGCGAAAACGACTCGAGACTCGCCAGGAAGGAAATTAGTAGAAAGAGGGTTGCGGAGGATGGTACGTGGAGCGTGAACCGGAAGAAGAATGTTCTCCAAGATGGATCAAGCTCTCCTGTTCTCCGTTGTGATATCGCTGACGGTAAGACTCGAGTATTGCAGCCAAGAATCATTTACCCGTGATTTAACGCACGTCGGGACGGTTTCTGGGCTAGTTCCAATCCGACTCGAACGTCGGTGACAAACTCGAGGATTAAATTAATGTGCATGTGTCGTTCTAACGCTCTATGGGGCCAGAAAAAAAGGGTGTAAGTGCGGAGGCGGTGCCTTTGAAGCCGATTCAAAAGACTCAGTCTTTGAAACGCGCGATACGTCACCGATTTTTATGGCACTTTTGTAAGCCCGTTTGGTTTTGAAATTAAGAGATAAATTATTCAGCGGGATGTTTTAATTCGGACTAATATGGCCTGGCTGGCGGGTCAGGTTATACTCGAACCGTTCTCTTCGATACTCATTTATATTTACGATCATTGGAGATTAAATTAAGATACTTCGCTATTAAACGCGACAAAAATTCGATGACATTTTAGCTCGATTTTTTAAAAATAATATATTAAAATTGGAATATCTTTCTCTTAAAAAGATACTTGTACAGGGATATTTGCATACCCGGATTCGATTTTATTTCACTGTACCCACGGATGAAAGCAACCCTTGCAAAATTACATACGGTCGTTAAACGTACCTATATGGAACCTAACATTTCGCACGTCGGAGAATCGTCAGTGACGATTAATTCCCGATGGAACGTATCGAGGAAGACAGCGGGTAACCTCTACGTAGCCCGAGAGTATTATAATTTACACGCTGCACGAAAATCGTGGTCTCGGTCGAAAGTGATTCGTTGAGAGACAAATTACAGGATATCTGGCGCCTCGTGCTTCGAATTCGTTCTGGACACATGGTGAAAAGCACTGCCGCGTAGGGCCCACTACTCCCCCTTCTCCCCGTCTCTTTTTCTTCCATCTTTTTTCCCATCGTCTCCTTTCTTCTCTTTCCCTTTTTACTTTTTCCTTTTGCCCTGGCCGAGCCGCCCGAGGAAACCGAGAGAGCCGTCTTTCGTTCACGAGGGCTTACCACGACAATAAAAAGCGGCCAATAAAAAGTATCACACGAGCGTGTCTCGTTCGTGTCACGATGATAAGAGCGACTCTTTTTGGGAGCATCTCTTTATCCGTGCGTGTCACTAAAATTCGTCGAAAGCGTGTCGGTGTATTTCTTACCGTCGAGAGCCAGCCACGAGTAGGAGTTTCTCTCTTCGCTTTCATCCGAGCTTCGCCTCTATGCTTAAAACAGACTCTTTGCTCGTCGGAACGAGCTCGTAAATTAATTTCTCGAGGAAAACCATTTTCTTTCCGTCGCTTTTTTCTCCATCCCCTTCTGTTTGCTTAAGGGTGGATAGCGCGAGAGTCGTGGAGGGAAACGGAGAAACGAGGCATTCGCGGCTGTCCCGCCCTAGTTAGACCTAGCCTACGACACGTAGAGCCCTAGGAAAGAACGTGGTTCGAGATTTATAGGTTCGTGAAAGGGGATATATATTATTTTCGATGCTCCGACCGGGGCTAAACGCCTCGTTGTATTCGGATTAAACACGGCGCGAGATTTACGCGATTCGAATTAACAGAAGCGACTGGAGAGCCGGAGATATCTGTTCACGAACGTATTCACTTTGTAACGCCTAATGGGTAATTTGGAACAGCGAGTCCGGCCAGGAAACAAATTTCGCGCGATTTCGTGCGACCGCGAACCTCGCTAGATGGTGCGAAGCAAATCGGCCAGGCGTGTTTCGTAAATTCAGCAATGTTTTTCGCGTCGGGTAGCTAATGAATCGTTGCTGACGCTCGTCGTTAGTTTAATCAGCGTTATTATTATCATTTACACGGCTTAACGAGACCTCGTTGTCGCCGAGAAGGCAAATACTCTTCGCTTACAGATTTAATGAACGGTTGTATTTTAAAATTACGACGAATATATCGTTGGTACCCTGGCGACCCGGGGAAACCGGTTTTTTCGTGTCCATTAGGAACTATGACGAATAAAGTGACGATCTCGGAACATATATTGGCGGGAGGAGACACGGTTTCGCGTAAAACGCAGATAAATCCTAAATAACAAAGTAGTATGAGTCAGAAATGGTCCGGCATCGGGGCGCCGCGCGTAAAAGGAATTCTGGCGTCTGGGTGTAAAAATAAAGGAATATTTATATGGCATTTCCTGTGTGATAAAGAACCAGGCGTCAGGTTTACTTAATATAGGCGCCAGGTTGCGAAGAAAAAACGGGAACCGATCAACAAAGTTATTTATTGCCTATGAATCTACCACTCCCTCGTTAATTATCATAAAAGACGCGTAAATCTTGTACTGTGTCAATCAAACATTGGCTGCTACTTTAATATAGTTTCGTATAAGCATGGAAACGAGTTGAGCAAATGTGTGCATCGAGGGATAGAAAGGTGTATCCATTTCTGACCTCAGTCCCATTTATCCGCCATCGCGCGCCAAAGGATTTAGAATAATCAGGATAATTGTACCAATTAAACGCATAGCAGTTTTCCGTTGCGTTCCACCTACATTTTCATTTACTATCGATTCGAACGCAACGCCGAATCGGCTGTCGCGTTTCTGCAAGGAAAAACTCTTTGATCGCGGCGCGTTACCTTCATCAACATGCAATAAATCACCGGTAAGCCTGTCGTTTTTGTTTTCCAGACGCATCAACGTTCCCAGAGAAACATCCCATATATGTCGTTACGTAACAACGCGAATCACGTTGATTGCCACAAGAATCGAAACGGAACTCGTCCAGAACGAACACGCCGCGACGTTCGCCTAACGATCGATCATAAAGTATGAAACAGCGACAAGCCACCCTTCGTCGAGCGAACAAGATGTTCTTTTATTTAACGGCGTGCTTCGCCCATCTCTCGTAAATTACGCCGTTTAATTGTGGCGAGCGTCGCTGATTTTTTCCCACTTTCCCTGATGAGCTGAAACCCGTCCACGAAGCCCAAGGCCTGTCTAGGAAGTGGCATGTTACGTAGAACGCATTCCACCAGTTAAATGTTGCGAGTAACGCGTATTCTTAGACCTACCGAATAGCGCATTCAAACGGATTCGAACCGCCTTTGACCAGCAGGAAACAGCCGAGATTATCCTTGATCCATATTCATCGGCCAAATTTCGTTCTTGCCACATTTCACGGGTTAAAGATCGTTCATTAATCACGAGAATCGAAATCCATCACCCGGCGCCCACGTTGCTGCTGAGATCTTCAATGGCACATAGGAGACGCGTCCTCTTCAGGGTGTCTTAGAGTCACTGTCTGAGGCCTCTTTAGGTAGAAGGCGTGCGGGTCGACATTTTGGGTACTGAAAAATATTACGGTTCACTTCCTTTTATGTCGCGATCCTTTTATGGCCAGTCGAATGTGATCCTTTCAGAGTTTCGGTTACTTGGATACTGAATCGCGTGAAAGGAAGTACTTTGCGATCTTTGGAATTTTCATGGACAGAGATATTTACTCTAAACTATAGACACGAACGAATTGATGAATATTGGGATTGTATATGTGAAATATGGATGTGTCGAACGGTAAATGGCGAAGTATGATATATGGAAGGATGAGAGGTGGAGCTGTATTTAACGTTGATAAGTTGAAAGATCTCATTTCCAGAGACAGGTACATCAGAGACGGGGTGATAGTTTGATGGATGGAATTAAAATCGTGGAATACCTTCCAGCACGGATGAGTTATGCGTGATCCATCTAGGAAGTTCCTAGCCTCTCGACCTTTCCCTGTTTTCGTGTCACGAGACAGGCACGTACTGCGGGGCCAAGGTATTGTAATAAATTGCGAATATTTCATAGCATTTTACTTGCAAAGCTCTCCTCCTATTCTTCGCGGCGGGATATAAACGGTCACTGCAAGAAATGTAACCGTAGCTGAACGAGTATGTAAGTAAAATGCGTGGTGCATTTTAATTATCGCTGAAATATATTTTGCTATGATTAATTTTCTTAAACGTTGCGAAGCGATCGTACATTTTCTTCCAAAGAGGTTAGAAAGAAAAACACAGATGTTGCATAATTTCGCGATAATTTGCATTCACTGTGCCATATCGATTTCGAATTTATGTCTCGATAGTTGGGAAAAAGTAAACCCGTTCGTAGTGTGCCTAATTTCTAAATTAAATTCTCCTCCACTTGCCTCGCGTTCATTTCGCCTTTACGCGCACGTTTACTCGACTGACAGTAGGGAGATATTTATTCATGGGCCATCAGTTTCGTGTCTCGTCTCCGTCCCAACGTTATGACACGCGCTTAGTGCAGGGTCATGATCGCGCAGGTTACAATCACTCGTCTTCCATTGCTCCTCGACCACGTGTCACATGCTACTCGAATCTTCATTGACAGCCCTAGCTCGAAGGCTTTATTCTCTTCGTTGGAATTTTTTCCTCTTTTTCTCTTTGCTTTCTACCATCGGTCTCGTGACATCTCGAAATAGCTCGAATTAATTCTTGTTGTATTCCTGGCTTCTTTTTAATCCCATTAAATTCACTTGAAATTCATTCTTTTTCTTTTTCATCTTGGGACGAGTAATAGCAAAAGAAATGGAAGATTCTTAAAAATTTATAAATGGTAACAGGAGTGTATTAATTCGAAGCAGCTTCGATCGGTATTACTATTATTGTGACTTGTGACTATCAGAGTAGTGAATCAGGTAATTCCAAGATTAACAGCAGAATTCGATTAATATGCTATCAGGAGCAACGATTTTCAGGGATTATGCTCACAAGTGCAAACTGCACGATAATCTTTTAAGACAGTGTCCGGTTACCAGTGCCCTCCTCGATTAGCCAGGTATGCAGTTCAGACTTGCACAAGAGTTTCTAATTAAGCAAAAACGAGCTGGCTAATCCAAGAATTCGTTCCGCTCGTCTTATGCACGCCTGTCTACTGCTTCTGAAAATTTCACACTATAAATTCCATTTAAAAGGTCTTCTAATTGTTTGAGACTCCATTGTCGAGGATAATAAAACATCCTGTAGCAGGTTATCTACTAACAGTAAACTCTCCTCGATT